AGTGCAGAAGAGGGCATATATGACTGATGGGAACCAGTAAAAATCTTCCAAGGGGCTCATGTGGAAGAGAAACATTTTAAACACACACGCACACGCACACGCACACTCTATGAACCTTTGAATCTCTGAATTTTCAGATTGTAAATTGGAGGGCAGGGACTGCCTTTGTTTGTGTGATGCTGAGAGCATCATTGGCTCGTAAGTAAATAATAAAAACAATAATATATTCTTTAAATCTTCTTGCTAATAAATATCTACAATACACTTCAAAATTATTAACAAGCACATCTTGGCATGGTGCATATTCTTCCTTAATTCTTCTGGAAGAAGAATGAGGGATATTGCAGACAACCTTTCAGATGTTCTTGTTTGTAATTATTACTGGTAAGCAATAGTAATTAGTTGACGATAAAGCTGGAACTTACTGTGTCCTCAGTTTTTACTTCATCAGTAATACCACTCACGGGAAGGGGATAAAATAAAAGTGCTATACAGTTGTAAAAGGACAGATCAGATTTTTTTCTGGTGCACTGTTAATAAAGAGAATATTGACTACAAGAGTAAGATTATTACTAGCTCATTTAGAATAACATCAAAAGAGGTCTAAATGGCACATTTACCTAACCCATTAGCACTTTTCAGGTGGAACTTGAAACAGCTAATAAGATATCAAAAGTTAGAAGTCAGTGAGTCACTCAGTAAGTGAATCAGAAGTGAGAATGCTATTAACCAAAGGATGTCATCAAAAGAGCCACCACCAGAAAAACCTTAACAAAGAGACTGTTTCATCATGGCTCCAGATCCCTCCCTCGGATGATTTTTAATTTGTAATTACAGATCTCTGTGTGTTTCTCAGTTATTACAATGAAAGATCATATTCCTTACATGAGGAACAAATGATCTTCCCGTTACTGCAAATATTGTCTGCTAGCCTCCCCTAACCTAGTACTAAAGTAGACTTTTCCCCCCTCTGTCCTTGGATAGTTGTAAAATCTATCATCTAGCTATGAATGTGAACCTTTTAGCAAATAAATGCTTATTGTGATTCACTGGATTTCTGCTCACAAAATTCCCAGTGCATAAATACTGCAGATACTAGAGAAAGTGGGCCAGAGAATACTTCAAGAGTAGGCATAAAACACTTTCAGGATTTTATACTACCGCATGATATTATACAGCACCACCCATAGTGAAATTTTCAAAAAAACAGAATTGTATGAAAAACTGTATATAAATAAAACAGTTAAATAATCTGGTTGAAATACAGCATTTGGGTTAACATGGACTATGTTTTAAGTGAATTTGTTTCAGCGATGGACTGGAGTTAAAACAGAATCTTTCATAAGCACATTTTTTAAAAAAAAGGTCTGCTGTTCAAATGCAGGGCCTTTTAAAGACTAAGTAGAAAGGATTAGAGAGAAAAAATATTCTCTTTGATTACTATTGCTGAAAGAGGTGTAGGGGTATCTGTTGTGGTTTACTAAGGAATATAGTTGTAAGACTTTGACTGACTTTGTGGCAATTTATGTATTAATTCTTTGAGGATTTCAAACATTCCAAGTAGATTGGGCCACCACTTCTCACCTCACCCCTATGGATGTAGAGATTTCTACATACAGGGCTAACCCCCTCCCCCACTACTGGCCTCTCCCCCACAAGTAAGGCTCCTTCAAGACAACCGCTACTATTGACCAAAAACCACCTATAATGTCACACTAGTAGCTATGTGGTGGAGTTTGTTAGAAGTTAGTGTTACTTCACTCAGAATTAACTGCCAATTGAAAATCCAACTGGACGCCTCTACCATCTCGAAGACAAACTGCTGTTGGATTCCATGGGTCCATTCCCTGCTGTGCCCCAAATGTGCCCTGCAGCTCTAATACTGCTGAGCTCTGGCAGAGGGGATTCTGAGGGGTCCCAGGAAGTGCAGTATAATGATATGAACCTGGTACTTCTCCCTTTCCTCACAAGCGAGATCCATGACTTCTAGTTCCATTATACTCAAAGCAGTGGGGATGATTTTGCCCTTATAAAACAGCATTAGAACAAATGAAAGAGAAATACAGTCAAGTGAAACCAGGAGAAAAAATTGGTTTATGAGACACGTATACTCAAATTATCCTAAAGGGCTTTATAAAGTAATGAAATATTGCTATTGTGGTTTCTCTGTAGGCAAATACAACAACCAGTAAGTGATCAATAACATGAATTGGACACTGACACAAGTGTTATTTTGGCAAGGATTGTTAGCCAGGATACCAAAGTTATCCCCCTATTCTTTTGACCAAATCTTGTGAAATCTTTAACTCTCAAATGGACAGCCATCAGAAATGGGTCAAAAAAGCTTGATTCAGCATCTGACCTGAAGTTTTGGTGGCACCTGTAAGCTCTCATGAAACTGGCACTTTCCAGAAGGACAGCAATGCAACCTACATGAAGTCACAGACAATTTCTAGAGATGATTGTTCTGCAAATGATATTGCGGCACAGTTGTTCTGTGTACCAATTCTGAAACAGACATTACTTAACAACACATAATTCTTACTAGTCACTGCTACATTTACACAATATCCTACTATGTCTCTAGCACTACGGGGTTTCTCCAGTACAAGAAATAGAGAACCATTGGTACAAAACATATTTATGACAATTTTCTCCCTGTTGCTAAGACAATCAGGGTGAAGAGCCTCAGCACAGTATGCAGCAATGAATAATTCACTCACATATACATACACTGCTGCATAGACAGTGGGCGAACTTAGAAAGTTTCTACAGTTTTGAAAGCTTGTATAGGTTCTACCAATATTTCTCCATTACATGTATAAAGAATCTCTCTCAAACTGGTAAAAGCATTCAAAATGGAAGAAAATATGTTATGTGTGACTGCTATAATAAGAGATTATAATTTCTGGATATAGGCTTCAAGTCCAATATTCATTTCCTATTATGTGAAACATGATCTCTTGTCTGACATATGTGAAATTGGTATTCAGCCAACTGGACTTTTGTTTGCACATCCAGGTTTTATCTAATACGTGCTGAAATGACATGATGAGTGGTTCCAGAATGGGCTAGAATACTTGGCAAATGGAAAGACATAGCACAATTAAGCATACTGCCTCCATTCACAAAACGATGCAGTTGTTTAGAACATAGTAAGATTTTTTAAAATGTTGGGTGACTGCACATAAAGGTGCCAAGTGAAAGTTTTGTAACTTGTTACTTTGCATACAAGTTCCTAAGCTCTCACTAATACTGGTGGGTGGTGTTACACACAGTCTTTAGGTGTGGAGGAGTCTTTCTAGAAAACTTTTCTTGACTGAATTTGGCCCCAAAAGGCTTTTACTTAACACAAGCACTTCAGTAGAAGCCCCATATCTGTATCACAGGCAGAATTTAGCCCTAGTAACCTCCTTTTCTCTAGCTGCCCTGACTCTCCCCTCTTTCCAACATTCAGCAACTAATCTGTTTTTCACACTGCTCTGACTGCTCTCCCCCACCTATGACTGCCAAGTTCTCTGGCTCTTTCCAAATTGAAATCCAACTCCTTATCCTCGTGTTCAAGCTCTGACCCAGACTACATCTCTTCTTCTATTGCTCCTCATCTCCGCCACTCATTTTGCTCTTTGTACCCTTTTTCTTGCTGCTCCCTACCCTTGGAAAGTCCTAACCTTCTTCCTGTGTATCAGACATCCTCACTATCCTCCTTCAAATCCCTCTGCAAAACCCACTTTTTTGGTTTGCTTTCTTCCATTCTTGTGCTCTCTACTCCTTGTCCTACCTCAATCTCCAACTTAAAACTTCCAGAAAGTATCTGATTTGCTCATTATTTCTATACCTCACATTATTTTTATTTGTTTAGCTCTCTCCCCTGCTTGTTCTTGTTCTTTCTTTTATTTATTTTTATATTCTGTTGGTATTTAATTTTGAAAGTAAACTCTTTGGAATAAGGGACCATGTGTAGTTTAAACTCTGTAAAGAACCATGCAAAGTAATGGTTCTATACAAACCATTTAATAATAAATAATAATAAATTATAGAAGACAAAGCACAGAAAATCTTAATTCACATTTGTGTGCGAGTCCCTTGATGTCCCTCATATAGACCATGATCCAGCAAAGCACTTAACACCTGCTTGACTTTAAGTACATGAGTATCTCATTAACTTCAATGGGACTACTCACATACTTAAAGTTTAAGCAGCTGCTTATGTATTTGCTGGATCAGGGCCACAGAACCCCAGTGCAGTGCTATGCACACAGCATATCAGCATTTTTTGTCTTAGCAACTTGTAGTATATAGTAAATTTCTTTACGTGTATTTTTTTTTTTTTTTTTGAGGGGCACAGAAAACGATACTTTCATTTAGGGTAGTGAAGGACCAGAATGCACTCTGACACTAACGCTCAACGCAAAGGTAGGTAGAAGCACTAAGAGGAAAAGCAGACTGTGGTGTAGCCCTGTTACACATTTCATGAAACCAACAACATCCTATTCTTTTTAATTCTAGCAGCTTCTTGTTCACATAATACTAACAAAGTCTGCTTCTCTGCTGTTATATTGTATAGTGTTAAGTATTCAGCTGATTTTTGTGAACTCTCAGGAGTTTTGAAATACTGTATTAATTTAGCACCTCATTTCCTTATGTCGTTATGTTGTTCCACCTTTTTTTCTTAATAAGAACACAAAATATAAACAATACTTTTTCTACATGAATTAATCCAGGTTTCAAAGCTGGCCATCTAAACTGGATGGGAATCTCTCCCGTTTACACATGTAAACACACAATGTGTGTGTGAAATGCAGATGGGTCTCAATACTAAATACATCACCTTCATCCCTTAGTGAAATCTTGAAGTGGATTGAGTCCATTTTAAAATCATGCTTTTCTTCAGAATAAATGATAGCAACATAAAGGACCCAGAACTCCGATTACAATCATTTAAGGGTGCTCATTTAGAAAAGTGACACATTTGTATACAAACAGGAGAATAGTCTTACCAGCATGCAAGTAAGCTAGATCAGGGTTTTCAATGTCAGGATGCAGCTCCTTCAGGTGGTTGCGAAATTCCACTGGGACATTGGTTCCATAGTCACATTTGGGGCAGTTATACATTTTTACTCCTTCATGCTTTCCTGTGTGTAAGATATGCTTACGGATATTTTCAGCGCAGTTAGACCTAAAAGGTGAAAAGAAAAGACAGAGTTAAATTATATTATATACGCACACATATGTAGGAAGGAAGGCCATCCAACAGTATTCAGGCACTGAAAATTAAATCCTGCTGTTATGATGGAGAGACAGTAGGGTCTCTACAGTTAAGGTAGTAACTAGCTTTCCATTTTATGCCAGATCCTGACATACTCTTAACTTGCACAGAAAACATGTCTTCCAGCTGAAATCTCTGAAAGTGTGGAAGTTCCCGATTAATTATGAATCTGGAAGGTTAAGAATTTTACAAAATGAATAGTTTTTTTTCACCTTTGCAAAAGTCTTCTAATATTTTTGGGGTGTGTGAGTGGGGAACATAATAGCTACAAAACTCCTTAACCTAGCAAAACTGATATTATTTGTTTGGCTTTTTTGAGCACCATGCCTTTAACTAGGGTCTAGGTGCAGGTAAGCATTGATGCTTATATTTAAAAGTTCACATGGAGTTCACATGAACCTTTACTACTAAGTTCATAGACCCCATTAGAGTCTTTGCAACTGATTTTGTAAGGATAGTCCATTAACTCCTGCAGAGCTTATAAACTCTACATAGTGATCTTGGGAGAGGGGAGAGGTTGTGTGTGTCAACTTTTCAAAGGCGTGCATGCCTAACTTTTGCATGTGCGTGCACACACACACACACACACACACACACACGCCCTGAGTTAAATCAGGGTTTGTCTGCCCACACAGGAGTTGGAATGTACAGAAGCCACAGATGCGCCATTCATTTCACACACTTGAAAAATTTGGGCTGAAAGGTTTTTAACCTCATTTCCAAAAAAGAGTGATAAAAGGTTGCAGTAATAATGAATTTATATCCAAAAAAGTTTACCAAAATTCCCACCCCAAGTTTATACTTCAATGAGAATTTCATGACTATTCAGTATGTATGAATTTAAAACAAAAAAACTACAACATCCTAGAAAGGTTTGTTAGTAGAAGTAAATGATATACGTTACCTGTATCAAAGCAAGGAATATAAGTGCTTCCATTTATTTCTGTTTGGGAATACTTTATTAATACTATAGACTCTATTTTCCCCTACATATTCTACGTGTCAGCAGTTAAAGGACACTAACTTTACACAAAAGTTAAATGGAAATCGTACAAAATAAGTTTCAAATGTGAATGGAAAAGAAAATATACAAATAAACAACATTTAAAATAAAAGTTCTAATAAAATGAGAATATAGTTCATGACACTAAAGGTGGCATTCAGACCAAACTTGCCTATGTGGGAGCTTTGAGAATCTGGGCACCTATATGGAAACTAACTGTTCCCTTAGATGAACTCTAAGGCATTATGTAAAAATTGTTCTTTCAATACCTTGAAAATATTTCTGTGAAATATGAAAACTCTACAGAAACCTTACAGTTGTGAAGGAAACACAGTCTGCTCAAGTTGTGTGCATGGGCAGTGCTATATCATTTGATCTCTGAACTTGTTCAAACCACTGTAAACTGTGCCACCTTAAAGTCTCATTTGTTTAACCATGATTAAAAGTTCTGTGACTGAACATAGCAATGTGCTGATCAACTTATCAATTGAAATGTTTGTCTATGTGTGGAGCACAGAAAGGCCTAATTATAAATTAGGAATAAGAGATCATAAGACATTACAAATGGTTTCCCTTATTAGTTTGCAATGCAGGGATTGTGCTAATAAAATAACCCATGAAGGTGACAACTCGCAAATCCAGGCACTTTTGAAGCCAAGTAATACCCTTAAATATGACATGACAATAATGTACTGCATATAAAATGTTTTTTTAATTATTCACTGTGCCTTGACTGCCTGTTCCATTATCAGTCTTGTCCCTAGTGCTTGGAAAATACATTATTCCATATCTGACATACAAAACACCAAACATTGTATTTCATATTATACTTACGGAATTTAAATCAAATGACTGTACTTAGAAGTCTGTGACTTTAAGAAGTACTGTATCTGCACTAAAATGGTGGCATTATAAACATTTAGCTAAATATTATAGTGTTGCAATAGTGATGATAGTTAAACATCTGACAGGCTTTGTGTTATAAACTCCACTTTCAGGAGTTTATAAACTCTGAGATAAAGATTCCCTTTATGTTGAAGTTTGGCAATGAAGAACTTAGCCCAGAAGGAATTCTTCTGCTTCAAAAACTTGAATAAAGTCAGACTTTGGGTTTTTAGTTCAGCTCTTGAGTTATATCAGCCAAATAAATACAACTTTTAAGAGACTGGTCTGCATTCCAGTAACACTAACATAGAAGTTATTTATGTTAAATTATTATCATTATTCCTTAATATGAACAAGTGTGTTTTTGTCTATATAAGTTATTTCCTATTTTGAATGAATTATGTATATGTGGCAATTTTTGACTGGGCATTCACAGAATGGATATTCCTGGTAGAGAGTGAAGTAGTTTGCAGTTATTGTCTATAGATATGTGAAAATGCTGCCATACAGGAGTGGAGTGGAAACTTTCCCTCTCCCCTTTCTTCCACGCAATGAGTGCTGCTAGAGAGCATGGACAGGGGCAGATGAAATGTTTCTCCAAGCCCATTACAATGCTAGGGCATTGTGGGTATTGTTTGGAGTCTTCACCTGCCCAAGATTGCTGCAGGTGATGATGAGCAGGGAGATGGAGCCTTTTCCTCAAGTTAGGCTGCAGATGGAGGGAGAATGGTCCTACTTGTATAAGGCCTGGTCTACACTACGAGTTTAGGTTGACTTTAGCAGCGTTAAATCGAATTAAGCCTGAACACGTTCACATGACGAAGCCCTTTCTTTCTACTTAAAGGGCCCTTTAAACCGGTTTCTTTACTCCACCTCCGACGAGGGGATTAGCGATAAAATCGGCCTTAGCGGGTCGGAATTGGGGTAGTATGGACGGAATTCGACGTTATTGGCCTCCGGGAGCTATCCCACAGTGCTTCATTGTGACCGCTCTGGACAGCACTCTCAACTCAGATGCACTGACCAGGTAGACAGGAAAAGCCCCGCGAACGTTTGAATTTCATTTCCTGTTTGCTCAGCGTTGAGAGCACAGGTGACCACGCAGAGCTCATCAGCACAGGTAACCGTGATGGAGTCTCAGGATCGCAAAAGAGATCCATCATGGACCGAACGGGAGGTACGGGATCTGCTCGCCATATGGGGAGATGAATCAGTGCTAGCTGAACTCCGTAGCAGTAAATGAAATGGCAAAATATTAGAAAAGGTCTCCAAGGCCATGAAGGACAGAGGCCATAACAGGGACGCACAGCAGTGCCGCGTGAAAATTAAGGAGCTAAGGCAAGCCTACCACAAAGCCAGAGAGGCAAACGGAAGGTCCGGGGCAGAGCCGCAAACATGCCGTTTCTACGCGGAGCTGCATGCCATGCTAGGGGGTGCAGCCACCACTACCCCAACCGTGTGCTATGACTCCCTCACTGGAGAAACACACAGGGAAGTGGGTTCGGGGTACAAGGAAGATGAGGATGAAGATAATGTAGATAGCTCACAGCAGCAAGGAAGCGGAGAAACCAGTTTCCCCAACAGCCAGGATATGTTTATCACCCTGGACCTGGAACCAGTAACCCCCGAACTCACCCAAGGCGTGCTCCCAGACCCTGAGGGCACACAGGGGACCTCTGGTGAGTGTACCTTTGTAAATATTACACATGGTTTAAAAGCAAGCGTGTTTAATGATTAATGATTAATTTGCCCTGGCAATCGCGGCCAGTACAGCTACTGGAAAAGTCTGTTAACGTGTATGGGGATGGAGCGGAAATCCTCCAGGGACATCTCCAGAAAGCTCTCCTTCATGTACTCCCAAAGCCTTTGCAAAAGGTTTCTGGGGAGGGCTGCATTATCCCGTCCGCCATGGTAGGACACTTTACCACGCCAGGCCAGTAGCACGTAGTCTGGAATCATTGCATAACAAAACATGGCAGCGTATGGTCCCGGTGTTTGCTGGCATGCAGACAACATCCATTCCTTATCGCTCTTTGTTATCCTCAGGAGAGTGATATCATTCATGGTCATCTGGTTGAAATGGGGCAATTTTATTAAGGGGACATTCAAAGGTGCCCCTTCCTGCTCTGCTGAACAGAAATGTTCCCCGCTGTTAGCCACGCGGTGGGGGGGAAGGGTGAAGTGATCATCCCCGATAACTGGGTGTGGGGGGAGAGAGGGGTTAGTTGGTTAACCCGGAAACCGCAGCCCCTCCTTTTACACTGCAAACCCATTTTAAATGGCCAACCCAACGGGTGCTTGGTATGGGAAATGAGGGCGCTACTGTTTGAAACCATTCCCACATGTTAAGAAGGTTAAAAAAGCCAAAAGACTGTGGCTTACCATGGCTGCCTGCAAGCCGAAATCTATTGCCTGGCACTGCGTGAGTGATCTCTCACACCAAACGGGCAGGCCCTCAATATAAGAGGAAAAATGTGACCTTGTAACGAAAGCACATGTGCTGTGTAATGTGAACAGCAAAATTTAACGTTAAAGAGTGTACCCATTGTTCTCTAAAATGTGTCTTTTTTAACCACCTCTCCCTTCTCCTCCACCAGCTGCAAATGTTTCTCCTTCACAGAGGCTAGTGAAGATTAGAAGGAGAAAACGGCGGACTCGGGATGATATGTTCACGGATCTCCAGATGACCTCCCACGCTGACAGAGCACAGCAGAATGCGTGGAGGCAGTCAATGTCAGACTACAGAAAAGCACAGTATGAACGAGAGGAGAGGTGGCGGGCTGAATCGCGGGATGAACAGAGCAAGTGGCGGGCTGAAGATGATAGGTGGTGTCAGCTTGCAGACAGAAGGCAAGAGTCGATGCTCCGGCTGCTGGAGCATCAAACTGATATGCTCCAGCATATGGTTGAGCTGCAGGAAAGGCAGCAGGAGCAGAGACCGCCGCTACAGCCCCTGTGTAACCAACAGCCCTCCTCCCCAAGTTCCATAGCCTCCTCACCCAGACGCCCAAGAACACGGTGG